ACACAAACCATTTCCCTGTGATACACAAACCATTCCCCTGTGATACACAAACCATTCCCCCTGAGATACACAAACCATTTCCCTGTGATACACAAACCATTCCCCTGTGATACACAAACCATTACCCTGTGATACACAAACCATTATCCCTGTGATACACAAACCATTCCCCTGTGATACACACACCACAAACACAAACCCTTCCCCTGTGATACACAAACCATTTCCCTATGATACACGAATTATACACAAACCATTCCCCTGTGATACACAAACCATTCCCCTGTGATACACAAACCAATTATCCCTTGTGATACACAAACCATTTCCCTGTGATACACAAACCATTTCCCTGTGATACACAAACCATTTCCCTGCCATGATACACAAACCATTTCCCTATGATACACAAACCATTTCCCTGCACAAACCATTCGCCCTGTGATACACAAACCATTCCACTGTGATACACAAACCATTTCCCTGTGATACACAAACTATTTCCCTGTGATACACGATTATCCCTTGTGATACACAAACCATTCCCCTGTGAAACACAAATTATCCCTTGTGATACACAAACCATTTCCCTGCAATTTCCCTGTGATACACAAACCATTTCCCTGTGATACACAAACCATTCCCCCTGTGATACACAAACCATTCCCCACAAACCATGTGATACACAAACCATTTCTGATACACAAACCATTTCCCTGCTATACACAAACCATTCCCCTGTGATACACAAACCATTTTTCCCTGTGATACACAAACCATTCCCCTGTGATACACACGTGTTAATTATGCCCCTGTGATACACGAACCATTCGTTCCCTTGCGCTACGTGATTCGTTCCCCTGTGATACACAAATTATGCCCCTCGACACGTGATTTGTTCACCTGCGCTACGTGATCCGTTCCCTTGTGTTACACGAACAGTTCCCAATGACATATGAATCTTTCCAATCACGTGATACCTAATAGTTATACTGTGTTACAAGAACCGTTCTGTTGTGATACAAAACACGTTAGCTACCGTGTGGTGAAAAAGCTACTGTTTGCTAAATACACATGGTAATATGGCCATATTAGACAAGAAAATGCTACCGGAAGTTCAACATATAACCACTTCTACATGCCCGACTGATGAAAAGAATGACAAAAAGTTCCAATGTTCATCCAAAAACTAAGACGAGGGTAAATTTTCACCGCGCAGAGTTAAAACTGACAGAAGAGTTACACGGCGAAAAACTGAAAATATAGAAACCTTTGCCGTACTGGTGACACTTGGACAACTATAAACTTCCGTTGTGGAGTCAAAAATTTAGAAAAAAGGAAAACTTCCGCTGTGCAGTGTAACAACCCCAGAGAAGGGTTAAACTTACGTTGTACAGTGTAAAAACTGAAGAGTTGGATTAAACTTCCGCAATGATTTTTTATTGAAAATAGTAAAATCTCCGCCTTACTGTGAAGACTTGGACCAGAGTAAATTCCTGCTACACTTTGAAACACTTGTCCCTGGTTCAAAGGCTGGTTAGAAATAACCAGTGGTTAGTGAAAATTGTTAAACATGAATTAATCAAAAGTGGAAACGTAATTTATAATATCACAGTTTTGTAGATTTATTGAGGCGGTTCAGATTGATTTATTTTGAGTGAATTTCTCATTCTTCACTAACCACTGGTTAAATCTTAACTTTCGAAAGACCGGGACCTGGATAACAGTTAAACTTATACTGTACATTGAAACACCTGGACAACAGTTAAACTTATGCTGTACAATGAAACTCCTGGACAACAGATAAACTTTGCTGTAAAATGAAACTCCTGGACAACAGATAAACTTATGCTGTACAATGAAACTCCTGGACAACAGATAAACTTATGCTGTACAATGAAACTCCTGGACAACAGATAAACTTATGCTGTACAATGAAACTCCTGGACAACAGATAAACTTATGCTGTACATTGAAACACCTAGAAAATATGGCATAAATATTGCTAATTTTCTGGAAAGATACCAGCATCCAAACAATATCTAAATATTAATGACAAAGAAAACCTTTTATGTCATTGAGTTGTGTATGTCTGTTATGTCATTGAGTTGTGTATGTCTGTTATGTCATTGAGTTGTGTATGTCTTATGTCATTGAGTTGTGTAGATGTGTAAGATTTTATTAGTTTGCGGACAATTTTCCAAAAGTTTCCAGGATTCAAAGTAGAATAACGTTCTACAATACCATATATATCCGCATAGAATTTTTTTTTGTATTTTTTAATCGCCCTGCGTCCGTGGTCCGTCCGTCCGTAAACAATTTTTGTTATCGCTATTTCTAAAAATGTAATGTATGGATCTTTCTCAAATTGCATATGGAGGTTCCTCTTGGTCCCTAGTTGTGCCCGTTTGATTTTGGGACTGATAAAAAAACCCAAATGACCGACAGGCAGCCATCATGATTTTTTTCAATGAAGTTTGTTACTGCTATTTCTAAGTAAAGGACGGATCTCTCCCAAATTTCGTCCTATAAATTTCGGTTTGTCGATGAGTACGTTAGTCATGTAAAAGGTGTGTATAATACCATATACAACATGCGTGTTTTCTGCAGTTAAAAAGTTCACATAGTATTAGTTGGGCGATATGAATGTTGGGTTTCCTGAATAGCAGTGTCTCTAGAATTCTGGAAATTATACCAAAAAAAGAAATGTGCGATATCAGGAGGCCTATACAGAGTACACAGAAAATATTTTTATTTGGAATCTGAATCGCCGTCCAAATAACCCACTTCCAAATTTTAAGTCAGCTCTACGACGGGTGTACAAGAAAGTGGATGTATACACAACTACTCCCCCCTCCCAGAGTTCCACAAATAGTTACAACGAAATGTCTTCCGCTGTACGTTGAAATATTGGGGAAAAATTCATCTGAACAATGTGCAGTGAAACACTCGGAGAGACGGTTGTAGACTTCCGATTTACAATGAAACACTAAGAAAAACAGTTTAACTGCAGTTATGCAATAAGATACTACATTGAAAAACTTGAGAACGGTAGACCCGTTATACATTGAAACACTTGAGAGCAGTAGACCATATTTATACATTGAAACACTTGAGAACAATAGACCATATCTATACATTGAAACACTTGAGAACTGTAGACCATATTTATATATTGAAACACTTGAGAACAGTAGACCATATCTATACATTGAAACACTTGAGAACGGTAGACCATATCTATACATTGAAACACTTGAGAACGGTAGACCATATCTATACATTGAAACACTTGAGAACGGTAGACCATATTTATACATTGAAACACTTGAGAACAGTAGACCATATTTATGCATTGAAACACTTGAGAACGGTAGACCATATTTATATATTGAAACACTTGAGAACGGTAGACCATATTTATGCATTGAAACACTTGAGAACTGTAGACCATATTTATATATTGAAACACTTGAGAACGGTAGACCATATTTATGCATTGAAACTCTTGAGAACTGTAGACCATATTTATGCATTGAAACTCTTGAGAACAGTAGACCATATTTATGCATTGAAACACTTGAGAACAGTAGACCATATTTATACATTGAAACACTTGAGAACAATAGACCATATTTATACATTGAAACACTTGAGAACGGTAGACCATATTTATACATTGAAACACTTGAGAACGGTAGACCATATCTATACATTGAAACACTTGAGAACAGTAGACCATATCTATACATTGAAACAGTTCGAGAGCAGTAAAACTTCCACGGTACATTGTACTATTTGAGGAAAGTAGAATGTCTGATGTACATTGAAACACTTGAACATATTTGCACATTTAAAACAACAGAACTTTCGCTGTACATTGAAATACTCGATATCAGTGAAATTATGTTTTACATTGTTGATTAAAACTGTCCGGTGTATAGAGGAACAACTTGAGTGGTAATTTGAAATGATTAGACACATTAACAGTAAAACGTACGATGTACAACGGAACAGTTGCAGAAAATTTGGACAATACGTGGCAGTGAAACCTGTCGTTTGTAAGATTCTTTGATTCGGGGATAAAAGCTAATGGTGTACTTCCCAAATACCCTAGATACTATGATTTTCAATCATATCAAATAGTAGCTTGATCTCATCCAACAGCAGAAATACAGGTAAGAAAACATTTCTAAATAAAGGTATTTTTTTTCCTGATTTGAAGAACTGAAACACTTGTTAATAAAGATATGTTTATTAATCTGGATAACTGCGTGTAAATCGGGATCATTTAAACTATCACTGAAACGCTTGTTAATCAATGTCAATCGAACGTTTTCCCTTATCTATTTCACGAATACGCGGTTAGTCGAAACCTTAAATATTTGTCACTAAAACGATTGTAAAACCAAAAGCAGCTGAGAACACCTTTCTATGTAAAGGTCAAACGTTTTTCCCCTGATTTGTGTGTTTTTCTCTGATCAGTCACTAAAACTAATGTAAGGGTTAGTCAAACGTATTTCTATCAAGCTAAAAAAAAATAATTTCCATGAAACTTACTAAAACGCTATTACATCATCGATAAAACGTTTGTAAATCAGGGTAAGAAAAACGCTTTTATCTGATCAACACGCTTGGAAATCAGGGCCAGTCAAACGCTTTCATCTATTCAGTGTCATTTAAACGCTTAAAATTTAAGGTCAGATAAGCGCTTTTTCTGATCGTCATAAATCGGTGTCACTAAAACACATGAAAATCAGGATCAGTCAAATGCTTATATCTCATCAGCGTTGCTAAACGCTTGAAAATCAGGGTCAGTCGAATGCTTTTATCTGATCAGTGTCACTTAAACGCTTGTAAATCAGGGTCAATAGTCCATTTGCATAAACCGCCATATAAATAAGGGGCGATAATCCGAAGAGTAGTAGTCACGTGACACCCGACATTCCAATCGTGTATCCAGTGTAAACAAATCCGGTCGGAATTCTAACCTATGAAAAATGTCGATATCCCGATTTAGTTCACTGAAAGTACCAGAGTTAAAAGAGTATTTGTCTAGGAGAGGTATATCTGTCACTGGAATTTTAAAGAATAAGCTTGTTAACCTGTGTGAAGCCGTAGAAACACTCAATTTACCGGTGGACCCAGACTGTCTATCGTGCAAAGACGACTCTACGGTTACATTAGATAAAATTCGGTCTGTAGGTTGTCCGTTCGACAATCCGTTTACAGCACCAGGTTATACCTCAGATTTTTCGAATATACCAGATTTTTCTTTGTATGACTTGTTTAACTACCTCATCAACAGCAAGGCAGATTATGACAAAAAGAAACTCAAAGCATACAAATCTTGTGACGATTACAGACTCTTTATTGACGGTCACATTGAAGAACTGTTGTTCAATGAGCTGAAGTCATATCCAGTTTGTCTGTTTAAAGCTAAATGTAAACCAACACAGAGAGAAGTGACTTACCTCAATAAAAAACACTATGATCTTTGGATTCTGATTGAAAAAGAACATAGTGAGGTCAAAGCAGCATACTGTACATGTACAGGAGGGTAAGCTTACAATTAGTCAACAAGATTCAGATAATAAAAAATAATTTTGTTCTATGACCTGCTCTCGTCTTATTCAAACTTCACTTCTATTTCTATTTCAATTCTATTTGAAATAGCATCCAAGGTGGTAAAACTACATATAAACTTTCAGAAGCTGTCATCAGTGAACGTTTATATACATTTTTTACGGCAAAGAAAATACACATATACAGTCACTGTATTACAGACAATACATGTGTATTTAAATCAATGGTGAAAATTCAACAAATACATTGGCAAAACAATGCATGAATCTCAGGAAAAATAATATAAATTGATATATACATTGTGTGTAAAGCTAAATTTTCTGCTGAAAACCAATTTATCTCCCTGGCCAATATCATTTCCAATACAACTGATCAATAGTTGGTACTGATCTTGATAAAAAAATATACTTTATTACATGCTTACAGGGCAGATGGAGCATGCCGACATGTTTCTGCTGCATTATATGAGTTAGAAAACTTTGAGCAGAAGTCTGTAACTGATGGTGAAAACCAGTGGGCAAAAAGGCCTCACCTTCATGATAATCCTGTACCGGTTAAAAAGCTGAAAGTGGTAAAGGCCAAGTGAGTGTATTCAACAAAAAATTACACTTTCAAATAACATGTACATGTAAAAGTAAATATAAGTTAAAGTTGCCAATTCCTGTTGCAAAGATGGGAACAATAATACAATTATTCAATAGTATTGAGAATCACTGTGGAAAACTACAGAATCCGTACCTGTTGTTAAAAAGCTGAAATAATGTAATATCTTTTTCTATTCTCTGATATAATTTTGATATGTATTTCACAAAAAAAAAGCTAAAAAAAAATAATTTCCATTTACTAAAACGCATTACATCATCGATAAAACATTTGTAAATCAGTATACAATTAAACGCAAAAAAGAATCACTGTGGAAAACTCATTGCTAAACAATTTAATAAATTACATGTATCAAATGAATCCGTCAGGGATTTTACTCAATATCATGTACCAGAGTTATTTGTCTAGGAGAGGTATATCTGTTCAGGTTTTTCTTGTTCCTGTGTGAAGCCGTTCAATATTTTTGATATCGTGCAAAGATACGGTTACATTAGATAAAATTCGGTCTTTTGTCCGTTCGATTTCACAAATGAATGAAACAAAAACAGACTCTTTATTGACGGTCACATTGAAGAACTGTTGTTCATGAGCTGAAGTCATATCCAGTTTGTCTGTTTAAAGCTAAATGTAAACCAACACAGAGAGAAGTGACTTACCTCAATAAAAAACACTATGATCTTTGGATTCTGATTGAAAAAGAACATAGTGAGGTTACTGTACATGTACAGGAGGGTAAGCTTACAATTAGTCAACAAGATTCAGATAATAAAAAATAATTTTGTTCTATGACCTGCTCTCGTCTTATTCAAACTTCACTTCTATTTCTATTTCAATTCTATTTGAAATAGCATCCAAGGTGGTAAAACTACATATAAACTTTCAGAAGCTGTCATCAGTGAACGTTTATATACATTTTTTACGGCAAAGAAAATACACATATACAGTCACTGTATTACAGACAATACATGTGTATTTAAATCAATGGTGAAAATTCAACAAATACATTGGCAAAACAATGCATGAATCTCAGGAAAAATAATATAAATTGATATATACATTGTGTGTAAAGCTAAATTTTCTGCTGAAAACCAATTTATCTCCCTGGCCAATATCATTTCCAATACAACTGATCAATAGTTGGTACTGATCTTGATAAAAAAATATACTTTATTACATGCTTACAGGGCAGATGGAGCATGCCGACATGTTTCTGCTGCATTATATGAGTTAGAAAACTTTGAGCAGAAGTCTGTAACTGATGGTGAAAACCAGTGGGCAAAAAGGCCTCACCTTCATGATAATCCTGTACCGGTTAAAAAGCTGAAAGTGGTAAAGGCCAAGTGAGTGTATTCAACAAAAAATTACACTTTCAAATAACATGTACATGTAAAAGTAAATATAAGTTAAAGTTGCCAATTCCTGTTGCACGCACATGATGGGAACAATAATATGAGAATGTACATGTGTATCTATTCAATTATTGAAAAAAGAATCACTGTGGAAAACTCACAAAAACAATTTAATAAATTACATGTATCATGATTGTCAGGGATTTTGAACTACACGTCTTGTTACCAGTACTGTTCAGGTTTTTCTTTTTCTATTCAATATAATTTTGATATGACATCATTTCACAAAAAAAAAAAAAACAAAAATATTCTATTTTAACGCAAGATACAACGTACATATGTATCAAAAAAGCAGAGGTTGTATCAAGTAATCTCTCTTTATATGGTAGATACAGCAGTCTGAATCAAAGTGATGAAAGTGTGTCAACTGCTTCATATGATCCCAGAATCCGCAGTCAGAGGGACATTACTACTCAGGATCAGATAACATCTTTTGCACAATCCCTCAAAGAGGTATCATATAAAATCACAGTAGTAAAATGTTTTCCCTTGTTTTACTTCTCTCTAAGATGAAAAGCACAAGTAAGAATTCAAACATTTTGAAATGCTCAATTACTAAATTTGAACTGGTAAATATTCTTATAGACCTACAGTAAATGTAAAGCTGAACAAAAGTCCCTGATAATAACTGCTTATTGAACTCCAAGTTATGAAATCTATTGTTATCGATTCCATTCTTACTTTGGGTTGTCTGATTGTACTAAATTCTGTTGGTCCACAGATTTCTCCAAATGCTCAAGCATTGGACTTGCTTGTTTTGGATGACCCAGATGAAAAAAATGGTACATGTACAAAACTTGATGAAAAATGTATGAAACTTTCTATCAGGCAAAATGTGAAGCAATATCTTGATCAAGAAGTTAACACAGACAGTGTAACGTCTACACACCTTTGCAAGGGTTTCTTAGAACAAGAACCAGGTTGTTTAACATTGTCATCTGATCAGGTAGAATACATTGAACAGGCAACTATTGGTCAAGTCCAAAACAAAACGTGGAATGCTTTCCGTATTGGTATGATTACTGCATCAAGTTTCAGAAAAGTTTGTGACACCATTGACAACAACAGAAATCCACCATCCTTACTCAAATCTTTACTTGGTAAATATGCAAGTGATGATGATATTGATCCAGCACCTCTTGAATGGGGCAAGAAAAATGAGCAAAAGGGTCATGATCTGTACATGCGAGCAAACAGAAGGAAGCATTTAGGATGCAAAATCACCCAAAAAGGCCTAACTGTTTATCCTTGTACATGTTATATAGGTTGCAGCAGTGATGGTGTTTTCTCCTGTAAATGTAAGAATCCATCTCATGAAAACAAAAATATTGAAATTAAATGTCCTTATTCATTAAGAAATGAAAATCCAAAGACGGCAGGTGTACATAAAGGATGTGAACTTATTGATGGGAAATGGGTGGTAGCAGAGAAAAGTGACTATTTCCATCAGATTCAGGCACATATGGGTATTCTGGAACTCTCTTCAACTGATTTGGTTATTTACACTCGCAAAGGCATCCATGTTGCTCACTGTGAATTCGACCAAATCTTCTTTGAAAATATGATTTACAAGGTGAAAACTTACTTTGAACAAAACTTGTTAAGTGCTTTGATCTCTGAAATACAAGCTGACGCACTGTAAAGCTCAACCAGGAAAATGAACTCTATATATAGATTGTCTAATCATCCTGGTAATTAAATCTACAAATCGGTGAAAGGGGCATTCCTGCATTCGGACATCAAAAACATGAAAGCTTTAGATTAACTTGAGAGTGAAATTGCAGTAATAATGTAAAGATAATAACTTTTACAACTGTGGAAAAATACTTATTTTCCTTTAAGTTTCATTTTTACAACCTAAAATCATTTCAAACAAAGGAGTGCCTCTTTAACATTTTCCTGACATAACTAAGGACTGCTTTTGTTTTACAGTAATTATCAGCAAGTTAACTGCACATAATGATCACACATGACCACTACTTTACAAGTTGGTTGTCCAAATTACACAGTGCTGCACAAACTAAAATAACATCATCAATTACATTTTTCAGTTTCAGACTTAAGACCCCTTGAAGTAGACTGAAGTTTTTTAAACGTCCTATTGCCCTCTCAACGTGAATTCTCGCATGAGCAATCCTCCTAGTTTTTGTTGTTGCTTTGCTGCAGAGTTGTCTTCCCATGGCAAATGGTGGCATATTTAGTGTAGCACCTCTTAAGGCAAGCTCTCCTCGGATAAGGAAACCCCGATCAGCCATAATGTCATCACCATATTCTATCTTTTCCAGAAAGCCACTTTGCAGAACTATGTTTTTATCTGATATGCTACCTGTAAAAGCCCCAGATACAAAACTGAATGATCCTGTGGGGGTTATTCCCATTAACACTTTTAAGGTATTGTGATGTTTGTATGCGGACCAGGTTATCCGTTGAGAGGAAGGCATACTGGGTTTCTGTATGAAAAACTCTGTGCAATCTATAACACACCTTGTGCGAGTAAACCACTTGAAACACTTTGGCAACTTCCTTCTACACTGTTCCCTAGATGGCCAACACACTAAAAACCTTAGCTCACGGGACATGAGACACATCCATGTAAAAATATCCGGCTAACAGAACTTGCTGATATACCAAACATCTGTCCCAGTGTGGTGTTGTCATACCCTTTTCTTAGTCGCAGAAGTGCCAAAAGGAATTCCTCCCATAATGATAGAGACCTTGGTCTTCCAACATTTGATACCTTAAATTAGAAATAGAAATTATTAATTGTGTGCTGCAGCTGATTAGTTAGCTGTGTGCATTTATTATTTTTGTTATAAAACCTGTAATTGTAGTCTTAAAAATAATCCTTAATTTCAGTAATACTAATTTCCATTGTAAAAAAATGATCCTTAAAATTTTAATTACATTTGTGGGTAGATGTACACTGTTTTCATTAATTTACCTCAACTTTGTCCTTATTTGTTTCTGCTCCACACCAGTAGGTCATGTTTTTAGCTTTATTTTTTAGCCATCCAAACACCAGTGAGAGCAATGCCATTGACAACCCTGAAAGAGCAATAAACAAAACTCAACATAATCCCAGTAAAAAGTTAATTATGTCTCCCCTTTGAATGAAGGGAGACATATTGTATAAGTACATTTTCTTGTTCTGGTTCTTCAAATAATATTTTGCCCAAGCCCAGTATGTAGTTGCATCACCTAAAGGAGATGTGCGCTGCACTTACAAAAGGTCACTCTGACCTTGACCTTTAGGTCAAAGGTAAAATATATTTTTTTGCTTGGGAAGGAGACGTATGTTTTTCGTCACCAAAACAACAGCATTGGCAAATAGTACTCATAATATGCTGTCATTTGGAATATGAATGCCTTTTCCTACAGGTTATGTACTTATTATTCTCTTCAGAAACATAAAAAAGGATATTTGAATCTTTAATTAATAATGCACTGTGCAACTTTAACTAAAACCAACCTGTGTAAAATTTGCATGAGGAGTCATCTTTAGTTACATTAGTTGCTGTCAGGTGTCGACGTATTAGGCCTTCATTTTGAAGCTGCTGATCGTCATAGTTCTTTAAGCAGTTGATAGTAAGATCTGTCTGAGTGCCAAAATTTCTGGTCTCCACACTATCTGTTTGTGTACCTCTCTCTCCTGGACCTCTGGGTTGAATAGTGTAGGCATGGTCACCTGTAGCAAAGGAATACTTATTATGGCGAAGAGACATGATCAAATTGTTGATATTTTACAGAAGATTTCTTAGTTGTTATATACACAACATGTTTGATACAACCAGCAATAACCAAGGAGAAATAATAAAATTGATAGAATTCAGCTGAATAATCATGTGAGTTGTTGTTTCCTATTCTTAAGACTTACTCAAGATACTGAATGAATTGTTGTGGTTTTCCTGCTGCATTATCAGTTTGGTGTCGTCAATTTGGCCTGTAACAAATTCAATATTGATATTCTAAATACCAGGTATTAACTAATCACAACATCAATTAATTAAACATAATAAATGATTATCTACAAGTAGTGATGTTCCTTTTATAGAAATGTACCAAAGTGCTTCACATTATTTAACTCTGAATTGACTTGAAAAGTGTATATTTTACCTCAAAATACATGACTCTGGAGAGGCAAGGTTTGAAGGTTCTTTAAGTTAATGATAATGAACTGTGTAATATGTAGCTATGTGTGGATTTTATTCCCAGTTACAATTCATAAAACTGATAACTCACATGTAGTCCTATAATATATGACTTCACAATTCTGTCTTGATATTAAACATTCGGCAGTAAATGGTAAATGTCAAAAATCTGAAAATAAAGGTTAAATATTATGACAGGATTGTTAAGTCATATATTATAGGACTAGTAATATTTGTCCAGTATACCTGTATATGTTTGCTTAGATTATTTTAGCCACACTAGCAGAATTTTGGAGCAACCTCCCCCCCAACCCCCCCAACCAAAAAAAAAATGTCAGAACCCTTCGGCTTCGGACTATATTCTACCTTACATGTGTATTGTTATGGATTTGAACGCTAATACTTACATTTCTTTATCACTGATGCTGGCAATGATCTGGACCTGGGGTATGGTCGAGCTCTTCTCTGTGCTCGTTTTATATCAATGGCCGTACCAGATGCCGGCAAAGGATTGGGATGGTCAATGGTAGGACCGTTTCCTCCAAAGAAATGCTTGCTGCATATGTAAGTGTGTTTGTTTACATTGGTAACCCCCCAGTTTTTACGCCCGCACAAGGAAACCCACAATCTACATTTTTCATGCTGTGTTTTAGGCTTGGGAAACGGTATGAAGAACACGTCCTGCATATGATCTGCATTTCTGTAGCGGTCGTCACTCCGACAATCACCCCAACAGCAGTGTTTCACCATGTTTACATTGGAATGTCAGACTCAACCGGAAGTGCAGTTTTGTCGGGTGTACACGTTTCTTCTCAGCTCCATGTTTATTTTTATTTTCAGAACGAGGCTGTCATATAACCAATACACGAGAGATTGAGAGATAACTCTTACGAGATTACAACTACTATAGATCATTACAACTCCCCTTTTGAAAATAGGTATTTTATCTTTAAAAGTTCATTTGTGATTGGAGGGAGCATATGATATATATGTAACTTGTATTTTGTGGTTAATTGACCATACTGAAACAAAATAGCTGAAATTAAACTGCATGTTGATACATGTCTGAAACTTAATATTTCTTTGTTCTTTATAAAATTGTCACAGTTTCTAACTAATAGTGTATATCCAACCCTCTTGATTGAGAATTATATATGGAACACAAGCAACAAATAAAATGTGATAATTTTGCAATTATGAGTTACCAAATTCACCAGAAGATAATGGACCAAAAATAGTTTTGATTTTGAACTCTTTACTGATGAATTTTATCAAGCATAACTACCAGGATCAGGATAGACTGTCCTGCCTGAGACCTAACATTAAAAGGGAGATTATTCTGCCCCTGTGCACTTCACATCTCATAATCTTTGAATCGTGCTGGCAGTTTCACACTTCTGCCGTATTTTGTCTTCATACTCAGAGAGTTCCGGTGGGCATTGCTAGTGCTGTCGCCTTATGCGTTGGCGTGTCACTAGGTTTCGTAGTTGATTCTTGCTCCATGAAATCAGGAATGTCCTCTGTGTTTCTCCTGAATGTTTCCTCTCGTGACTGAATGATGTCTCGACGATTTCGACGAAACTTCTCACCATCAGGTGTCACTACTGTGTAGGACCTCGGGTATTCAGAGTGATTATAAATGTTTCCTGGAGCTCCATTGTCCTCTGTGTTTAAAACGAATCTTATCTCCGTCATTTAATTCCGAAAGGCGTTTGGCTCCAATATCGAAATATTTTTTCTGCTTTTGCTGCGATTTCTGTCTGGTTTTCTGAACGTGTTCTGAAGACACTACACATGGTTGAAGTTTAAGTTGGGTAACTGGTAGCACAGATCTAAGCTCTCTGCTCATGAGTAGTTGTGCTGGTGATTCTGTATCCGTAGGCGAGTTCCTGTACTCGAGTAGAATACGGTATTTGCCCGTTAGCGTTGGTTTCTCAAGGATGCGTTTCATGGTTTGTACAGATTTCTCTGCTAAGCCGTTCGCTGAGCAAAATAGGGACTTGATGTTGTGTGTTTAAACTTCCACTTTGTCGCAAATGTTTTGAATTCGGATGAGGAATATTGTGGACCATTGTCGCTCCTCACTTCAAACGGTATTCCATGTCGTGCAAAGATAGATTTCAGGTGTGTTATTACTGTTACACTTTCAGTGTTCTCCAACTTTGCTACCTCAAAGTATCGGGAATAGTAATCAGTGACTATCAGGAAGTCTGACTGGTTCCATGAGAATAACTCGGTTCCCCACAACTTGCCACGGTCCACTTGGTACAGGTGTTGGCTTCAAAGGTTCTTTCTGATTGTTGTTCCTCATATCCATACAGGTAATACACCTTGATATAGTGTCAGGCCAATAAACAATACTTCTGGCTCTGAGTTTGGTTTTTCTATACCAAAGTGACCTACATGAAGATCTGACAGTATTTCATCTTGGAGACTTTCCGGAATTACTATCCTTTCTCCTTTGAGCACTATGCCTTCGTTGATAGTTAGTTCATTTCTAAGTTTCCAAAACTCTTGTAGGTTTTTTGTTAGAACATTTTTATTTTGGCCAGCCATTCTCTATCAATGCCTTAACTTGACTGAGTTGTTGAGTACCTCGTGTTCGAGTGCGAATTTGATCCATTTTATTGACAGAGACAGGTAGACTGTTCAAAACAGTGTGTACATGACAACTGAGTTCTTCATCCATGTTCCCATCCTTGTTGGGAAGATATGCACGAGAAAGTGTGTCCGCTACTACTAATTCCTTGCCTGGCCTGTAGATTAGAGTGAAATCATAGCGTTGTAGACGTAGAAG